AAAAGTCGATCGGGTAAATTTCTTCCCGCCCGTACGCCTATGACGGCTGAACTCATTTCATTTCCTGTGTATCGGAACATAAAGCAAACAATATTTGCGAAACATAATTTAGTATGCTCAAATTCTCGAAATTAAAGTAAACAAGAGGCATATACAATCAAAGGAATAATCCAGTATAAAGATAAAACAAAAACTTTCGCAAAAATTTAGCCACAACATTCAATAATAACTATTATCTAATAACTAGTTTTATCGCTTCCTTATATATTACTGTCCATCCTTCCCACTTTTGCATGCACCTATTTCCGCGAAAAATTACTTATATGTGAAGCTACATATAAATACTAGGACTTTACAATCACGTGCGAGACATATTACCACCCGATAGAGTCACACATACGACAAAAGAATCCTATTTTTACTGGCTCGTATTTATGAATTCACAATTGTATGAATCGTTAGATTGTGATCAACGTGGATTTCTTAATACGCTCTCGTTTGATATAAACGTACGTTAATGAATAAGTGACATTTTTGTTACAAGCCTGGAGATGGCTGTCAAAATTCAGCGAAGTTTTATATGTGCATGTCAGTTAGAATGAAATGACATGTGAAAACATTTAGCAAGATTGAGGCAACAAATGCGATATTATTTTCTTGTCCAATCTTTTTTGTTTTTGTTATCACGTTATTATTATTGACAGTGGCGGAAATCTTGGTGGGGCGGGGGGCCACCGCCCCCCCCCCCCACCTTCCGGAAAATTGACGAATTTTCGGAAATTTTGATCTAAAAGAGGGCTAAAAACAGTCTTTTCGAGTGCAAATGGGGGGGGACGTCCGAAATTTCAAAGTTTTGTCGGAAATTTAGGAGGCTTTGCCCCCCACTGGAAAAAGTGAATTTCCGCCACTGATTATTGACTGTTGTAGCAATATTTATTGGAAAGTTTGTATTTCAGCCGTTGGTACTTGTTACGGAATGGCTATGTAAAGCTATATATATAGATTGTGTTAAACGTGATTAAAAAATAAAAATATTTTGACTTTGTTTCTGATGACATTTGTCGACTCTCGACTTTTTACTCTCGATCGGCTCTCGACTTTTTACTCTCGACTCTCGACTTTTTACTCTCGACTCTCGACTTTTTACTCTCGACTCTCGACTTTTACTCTCGACTCTCGACTTTTACTCTCGACTCTCGACTTTTACTCTCGACTCTCGACTTTTAGATACACTCCTCTTAAGAGTTAAGATGGGATGCTGCGGCTTCAACACTTCGACACAAATCAATACACTTTTTGTGATTTAGGCTTCGCTCTTGTTAGAGCCGTTTGCACAAATTGTTGTTGTGTATTCCTAAAACAATCGCTGTCTCAATCTGAGTATACTGTCAGCCAAACACTCGCAAAAGCCGCATGTTTTTATAGCGAGGGATCTTAGGGTTGCGATATATGCATCGATCCATTCATCTGGGCCTTGATTTCTACCATTAAATAGGCCATGAGCTAGTGCCCTCAAACCTTTAGTTTCATTGTACACCCCGCTAAGCTAAAAAATACTTACATATTCTTATAGATTTAAACACGCTGAAACCAATTCTAAAAAGTTCCCGTCGATAAACCCTGCCGTTTTTTTGTAAATTGCAATCAAAATCTTAAAATTTACGAGTTTCGCAATAGCATTTTTACTATGTCATACCCCATAATGCGTACTCTTGGAACCAGTCACTCGCGCGCCATGGTGAAAATTATACAGGATAGGTCACTTCCGCCTACTCTTGAGTTATGTGAATTCAGATTTGATGTAAATAATGAGCAACACGATTTTCAGGTTTCATGTATTATTGCGACAAAGCTACCCCCTCCGCAGGCCATACAGCCCGTAATGAGTGCGACAAAGCGTATTTTCTGGCTTTGTACGAAGATATTTAGCAACACCAGGCATTCTTTCAAGATTATGAACTTATGTATACACTTTTTCATCTTTATGGCGTGTAATAAAGGACGAAACAAACTTCAATTTTATATTTTGAAGACAGAATAATGGACATACTGTACTATTTGGATATTAAGCAATACTATAATTAATACCATATACTATAGAGTAATTAATAGCACATTAGCTTTCTTTTCGTGTAAAACTACACAAATTCACCATCATCACAATCCACTCCTCCTCATCGAAGTCATTGACATTGTCAATTAGCTCTTCATCTATCTCACTGTTTTCGGAATTACTGCATTGGCAAAGTTCAGTGCACTTCAAATTTGCTTTAAACCATGAGCATATTTTTGTTTGCCAAGCCTTTTTGCATTCGCAGCTAACAAATTCTATAAAGATGCTATCGGCTGCCTGGAGCAGGCCCTTGGGTCCCCCATGTACAGGGGTGGAGCTCAGCAATGCATCCATCTTCATTCATAGTGTAATAGTATATAAATGTACTTGATAAATGTATAGATTATAGAGTGATGTAACAAATTTTGCATGGCAAATGCATTTTAACCAATCTGGGGCACTTGATTTTTAAAATATTCTGGGGAGCATTGTCTCCTTAATTGTCTCCTGTGTCAAGGTTTCTGCCCATGAGCGGTTGCTCACTCGAGTACAACATTCCATTCCTTTTGTCTTACCTATCAATATCATTATCAGTTCTGTGCTTTCCATATTTTCACATTGGCATAATTCTGTGCATTGTAAATCCGCTTTCCATAGCCGGATTTTGAGGGGAGGTGTGGGGAGGTGAGCACCTCCCCTGAGATCGTTTTGCACCTCCCCTGAGAATTTTTGCACCTCTCCTGAAAAGTCATATGCACCTACCCTTGGGGAAGTTTCAATGATAGATCAAAGTGAAAATTTGACATTTTTTGGTTGTTTAGGGTCTACACTTCCTAAGAAAAGTTTTTTTCTGTAAAATAATGTTCTGTGATAGCCATTCATCTCTGTGTCAAGTACCCTTTTAATGCAACGTTTTGAAAGAAATTTTGTAGTAATTGTAATGAATGGCAAAATTGGATGAGTTGTACAGTCATGATTCATGATTAGTACAATTTTCACTATTTGGTCCAAAACGATGTGCAAATTGCACAGTGGTAATTTGAACCCTGTTAAATCATACATATGTAACATATGTAACATCAAATCCATTATCACTATCAGTTTCCATCAATTCTGTGCTTTCCATATTTTCACATTGGCATAATTCTGTTCATTGTAAATCCGTTTTCTTACACGAGCACCTCTTGGTGTTGCACTGCCTTTCTGCACCATCATCAGATGGATATGGCAGGACCATAGAAGCAACTGATCTGGACATCAAATGGGGCCCAATGGAAAGTGCTCCAGATAGTATTCTTGAAATTATATGTAATGTGCAGGTGCAAGAAAGGCTGCAAAAGCAAGAGGTGCTCATGGAAGAAAGCAACAAGGCCGGATTTTGGTGGAAATAGTGGGGTATGTGGAAAAAAATTTGGGGGAGGCACAGCGGTCTAGCTCACAACCCCCATAGAAAGTTAGGGCTTAGAATGGGCCAAAGTCAACAATGTGACACACCAATGCATGTAGTGTACATATGTATCAGAGTGTATTAACTTTTCGAAATAATATGCAAAAAAATCAGACTGGAACTATTAAATTTAAATGAACATCAATCCATCCATATTTTATAGATTTAAACAAAGCCAATCTTTAATTTGTCTTATAATTTATAAACAAGTGTTTTTGGATGCACACTAGCAGCATGTTTGCAGACTCGAAGTTGGCAAATTTTAGCCACCAAGACAGACAAACACATGACTGATTAATGTTATCTGCAGTAATGTTATATACAGCATGACTGAGTAATGATAACTGAGAAAAAAGGAATGGAATGTTGAGCTCGAGTGAGCAGCCGGCCATGGGGAGAAACCTTGACACAAAGAGCAGCTATGAAGCAGACAATGCTCCCTCAGAATATTTTGAAAATCAAGTGCCCCGGATTGGATAAAAATGCATATGCCATGCAATATTTGTTACATCACTCTATAATCTACACATTTATACACTATCAGTTAAGCACAGTATGAATGAAGATGGATGCACTTATAATTGCATTTTTTAGCTCATTCCTACAGAACAGGTAACATTCTTTCTATTGGTTACAATTTTCCCTCTGAATTTCTCCTTCTGTCTAAATTTTTGGTCCCGTGGTCTCTACTGACCCAAGGGCCTGCTCCAGACAGCTAGAACAGCATCTTTATGAATTTGTTAGCTGTGAATGCAAAAAGGCTTCTCAAACAAAAAGATGCTCATGTTATAAAGCAAATTTGAAGTGCACTGAACTTTGCCAATCATCAATGTCAATGACCTTTGATGAGGATGTCAATGACCTTGTCTTCAATGTCAATGACCTTGTGATGATGGTGAATTTGTGTAATTTTACACAAAAAGAAAGCTAATGTTGTTATTAATTACTCTGTAGTATATGGTATTAATTATAGTATTGCCTAAAGAGGAAGTCAAGTCCATTCTGCGCATCGGTTCTGCTCATAATGTGAGGACTGTCTGATGTAAACATTGCCCAAACTTCGAATGTTGCAAATTTGTAAACTCTATTTCATATTGGGCCATTCCATTTAATATAGCCCCCCCCCCCCCCTATTGAGGGGTCTGGAAATCCTATGGGAGGGGAGGTTTTTATCTTAAAATTTCCTAGAGGGTAGCTTTTAACAAATTTTCCAAAAAATAGCAAAAATTAGGTGTTTTAATGATATCCAAGGAGGTAAAAACGATATCCTAAAGGGGTATAAAGAAATCCATGGGGTAAATTCCAAAAATCGCATCCAAGGGGGTTCTAAAATTTTTATATCCTAAGGGGATTATGAAGCGACCCCTCAATGGGGGGGGGGGGGCTATATTAAATGAATGGCCCATTCATTTAGAAGCATAGCGAACCGAAATAGTGTTAGATATTCAGACAGTACATCATATTTTAAAAAAATACAGCAGTTCAAAATGTATTAAACAAACCGTTTGTTTAGATGCGGACTTGACTTCCACTTTAATAAATATGTAGTTTTTGGTTTACCATCCAAATATCCAAATAATACAGTATGTGAGTCTCTATGTCCATTATTCTGTCTTCAAAATATAAAATTGAAGTTTGTTTCGTCCTTTATTACACGCCATAAAGATGAAAAAGTGTACACATAAGTTCATAATCTTGAAAGAATGCCTGGTGTTCCTGGTGTTGCTAAATATCTTCGTACAAAGCCAAAAAATACGCTTTGTCGCAATAATATATGAAACCTGAAAATCGTGTTGCTCATTGTTTACATCAAATCTGAATTCACATATCTCAAGAGTAGGCGGAAGTGACCTATCCTGTATAATTTTCACTATGGCGCGCGAGTGACTGGTTCCTAGAGTACGCATTTTGAGGTATGGCATATAGTAAAAATGATATTGCGAAACTCGTAAATTTTAAGATTTTGATTGCAATTTACAAAAAAAACTGCAGGGTTTATCGACGGGAACTTTTTAGAATTGGATTCAGCGTGTTTAAATCTATAAGAATATGTAAGTATTTTTTAGCTTAGCGAGATGTACAATGAAAATCGGTTTCTAGCCATATTTTGAGCCACTAGCTCACGGCCTCCCGGGCATAATCGATCAGACCTAAAAGTCGCCGGTGTAAAAAACTTACCGATGGCGATGCGGTCCGATACCTTTAACCGATTGCATGTATTTGAAAGATAAAGCCATTATGCATCTGCCAGTTACTTGACTACCTTTTCCAATGGCTGGAAATGGCAGAAAACATCTATTCAGGCTGTGCTTCATAGCGATACGAAGGCTATCATAATGCTTAGCAAAATGTCTGAAAAAGAAGCTCCCCATTCTTGGTGTCACCATTGATTCAACGATGTACCTACTCGGAATAATGATTATAATGATATACTGATATAATAATATTTTATAATTATTCGCCGAAGGCGAGGTAAATAGGTGCATATCGCGGGCATGGTGGAAAAAACGGAGTCGGAGTACGGAGTACGGAGTCGGAGTACGGAGTACGGAGTCTGTCAAAAAATTGTTTATTTCCCCCTAGGGAAAACGTGGAGTCTGTCAAATAAATGTTAATTTTGCCTAAAGATTCGATTTTATTTTAAACGAAATTTTGTACCAAACGAAAAGCACATGTGATGTGACTTGACGTAGCAATTGCTCTCATTTCCAAGACCAAGAATTCCTCAGGTTAATATCAGTAAAAATATGCAGAAGGTCTGTTTACACATGCAATTGCAGTTGCAACTTCCGGCAAGACTTTTTCGTGGCAATCTGCAATGTAAACACCCTACACCCCGCGATTGTGACCGCAACTTTTGTGCAATTTGCAGCAATTTTATGGCTTGAAATCACGAGAGTTAAATTTTCAATACTCCTCTAATAAATACAAAGATTTTGTTCTAATTAGGTTGTTTATGGCTATTTTCTTTTAACTGATTTGGCTGTAGTCTGTAGGAAAGAATTTCCGGCTGAGCTATTATATATCTGCACCTCTAAAGTGAGTAAAGCATGGTTTTAAAGACTGTCTTTGATTATCACTTGGCACACACGAATACCAACAAATAGGGAGTTTACGATCTACGACGCGGCCGGCTCAACGACGCGGTCTAAATTTTAGCTCAACAATGAGCGCTAAGCAGTTCGATTACTCTAATAAATATTTGACTCTTTCAAATAACCTTACAAAATGCTACGTTCGGCTAAAGCGATGCAATGTTTGCTGTAATTTCAACTTTTAGTAACACCTCTTGTGTCGCATTAAGCTTTCGCGTTGCCTGAAAGACGTAATAATGCTTTTTTAACGTTGTATAAAGCCTGGCGCACGCGATGCGATTTTAGTCGGCCGATAAAAATCGTTTGACATACCGATATACATCGGCCACTCCGCACACGATTACGAAAAAAATACGCTCCCAGAAATGTAGCGCCATGTTGCCAAATAAATACAAGCACGTGATCACAGCATGAAATCTGATTGGTTATACTTAAAATTCCACCGATAAAAATCGTATAATATCAAAACGTTTTGATGTTGTCCGATTAAAATCGAGCAACAAAAATCGGTTAAAAATGACACCGCACACACAACGATTTGTTATTTTAAGCCTGGCGCACACGATGCGATTCAGTTTAGTCGGCCGATAAAAATCGGTTGACTAAAACTAACAAAATCATTGTGTGCGTGGTATCATTTTTAACCGATTTTTGTTGCTCGATTTTAATCGGACAACATCAAAACGTTTTGATATTATACGATTTTTATCGGTGGAATTTTAAGTATAACCAATCAGATTTCATGCTGTGATCACGTGCTTCTATTTATTTGGCAACAATATGGCGGCTACATTTCAGGGAGCGTATTTTTTTGGAACGACGAGAAAGAAGGAAATTTAGTCGAATTATGGGAGCAATTCACATGTCTTTATCAAACGACAAGCGAAGATTACAAAGATAGGGCTAAAAAGAACCAAGCCTATGTGAGCATTGCTGATGTACTTGGAACAACCGGTATGTAATGAAGTGCGGAAAAATTTGCTTTATAATAGATTTTGTATGTACGTATCGAGAAAGTTCATTAACAAAATCAAAACGCTGTGGTGTATCTCCAATGACAACACATCAGTGCAACAGTCTTAATTAAAGACTATTTTTTTATTAGTGGATGAGGTGAAGAAAAGAATGCAGAGCATGAGAACTGCATTTTCAAGACTATCAGGCAGGAAAATCTGGCAGTGCTGCCAAAAATTTGACTAAGAAATCTGCTTGGATGCTAGAAAAACTGCAATTCCTACTCCCGTTTATGAAAAGTCGCTCAAGTGTTTCAAATCTTGAGGTATGCAAGTCTAAACTGATAAAAAATTTAACTTTCAAATTTTTATTAATAAATATTGTCTGAATTATTTTACATTGAATAAAATTAATAATTCATACTATGTACAAATGTATTCATTTTACATGTGTAACAGTTTTCACACAAACAAGATAAATTTTGTAAAACATACAAGATTCTATTATAATTGTGTCCAGGGACGCCGGAACTGGGGGGGGCAGGAGGGGCAGCCGCCCCCGTTGCCTTTTGCCAAGAGGGGCAAGGGAGGCAAAGGTGCCCTTTTAATTCACAGGATTGCCTTACCGAAATAGCGAATTGTCAGAAATGTTAGTGCAATTCTTTTACGAATTTGCTTCAGAAAACGCAAGGAATGCAGTCATCGAGCTTCAAGAATAGCACAATCGCCTGGCGGAGAACCCCCTCACACCCCTATCATCCAATAAATTGAAAACATAATTAGGCGAAGTTCAACTCCCGATGTTTTGCAAACATCTCTTAGTATATATCAATTCAAAAGTGCCCTTTCACGAAAATCTGCCCCCTTGCATTCATGATCACATCGTTCCGGCGTCCCTGAATTTACATAATAACAACAATATTTTATGGTTATTTAATCTATCATTTCATTTCATTTTGCCATGGCACTGCACCTAAAGCAGAACTGAAGTATTCTTTCAATGCATCTCTTTGTGATTTGGCACTACAAGCTGAATTTCTGTTTCTAGTTGGCTGTAAGCCAGTCAGTTGTTGGTCTGTTCTCCATGCACCAAGGATTACTTGATGGTTAAAATCTTCATTATCTACTGCATACAGTAATTAGTAAGATAGTTATTGCCTTAATTCCTTATCAGAAAGTTGTGAAGACAGGTAGTTGCTAGGACAGCATTCTGTGTATCTTCTGGTTGAAGATATGCCTTACTTAGAAGAAATTTAAATCTATTCGACATTATACCAAAAGCATTTTCCACCACTCTTCTTGCTCGGCTCAATCTATAGTTGTAAATTCTTTTGGCTCTGTCATCTGATTTGTATGGCAATGGTTTCATGAGATCCTTTTGCAAAGGAAAGGCATCATCGCCAATTATGTGGTAATTACACAGTTTAGAAGTGCCTGGAATGACTTCTTCATTAGGAATTGATAGCAATCTATTTTCCATTGCTTCCTTAAGAGAGCACTCAGCAAATATTCAAGCATCTCCACATCTACCATTTGCACCAACATCGACATACATGAACTGGTACTCAACATCAACTAAAGCTAGTAAGACAATGCTAAAAAAGTGTTCATAATTATAATATACAGATCCACTGTTTTGAGGTAGTTGAATGGCGATATGTTTACCATCTATTGCCCCGATACAAAAGGGATAGTTCCATTTTTCCATAAACCCTGTTGCCACTTGTTTCCATTCATCTTGGGTTGAAGGCAACTAAAAATAATTGTGTGGAATTAATAATACTAATAATAATAATAATAATAATAATAATAATGGTTTATTACAGCTTTTCCACAGAAAATATACTATACTATTAATAGAAAGTCTCTATGAAAATTTAAAACTAAGGATTTAAAATTTCAGATTTTGCCAACACAGCAATCTGATGATGATGACATTGATATGTCTGGTGAAGAACTTCAAGGCCAGGAAATCACAATCACTCAGACGATGCCAAACCAGGAAAATATGAGACCATGTCCTGGTGGTCCTCCTATACTTTCCAAAAAGTCTCGGACACAGAAACGAGATGAGGAGGAGATGGCTATTTTAAAAGATATAGCTACTTCAATGAATCAAAAATCTGGGAAACAAAAGGATGATGAAGCAAATGAATGTGAAAGATTTGGGCAATATGTATCCAAAAGCCTTGATAAATGTGATGGAAAAAGCAGAAGTATTTGTAAAAATATGATACAGAATGCAATTTTTCAATGTGAGATGGGTGTACCACAGTCACAAACAAGTCAACATATTTCTGCAAGCCCACCAAGTTCACTTCATCTGTCATGGTGAAAATTAAAGCTTCTTATTAATGTTGACTACTTCATGAATACATATTTGTTTTGTTAATCACAAAAGATTGTTTATAAAACATTGTTATATATTTTGTTATGCCTATTGTTATGCTGTTTATTTTTATATATTTAAGTTTGTAATAAATTTATTTATAACATATCAAACATTTTGTTGAACTGACGCATTTTTTAATTTACTTTCATCACATGATATATCACTTGACAAGTTTCTTTCACAATTTCAGAAATTGTGCGTTCTCCAACTCTAAAGGCAAACGACAAGCTTCGAAAACTTTCGCCTGTAAAAATTTCAAATAAAAGCAAATTTACTATCTCATGTAGTATACATTTTGTTGTACACAATAATACAAAACAGTACCTGATGCGAGGAACCGGACTGTTATAAAAAGCCCTTCTTCGGCACTTATTGACCCTCGCATGTTAGGGTCTTGTTTGGTGATATAAGGGGCCAATATTGTAACAAATATCTGAAAGTTTTCAGGTGTCATTCTTGTAAACCTTTTAAATGTCTCGGTGTCACCATCTTTAATTTCGCAAAGAAACGTCCGGTAAAAACCCAATTCCCTCCTGCGCTGTATCCACGAACGTGTCCAAATTTCTCGGTTGTTTGCAGCCTTACGTCTTCGCCTTCTTCGCAAAATAAGCAAAATGACAAGTACAGCTTGTCTCTTATTGATTGCCGCCATCTTGAAATCCCAAGTAGCTCAAAATCAACATTTATCCGGCGATAATCGTGTGCGGAGTATACTGATGTATATCGGTATGTCAAACGATTTTTATCGGCCGACTAAAATCGCATCATGTGCGCCAGGCTTTAGTTAACATGCACAACTCAACGAAAACGAACGAATAATTCAGTTATGTTAATAAGGATAGCTTATTTTATATGTCAAGATTACAATTAAACATGCATATATCAAAACATAGTTATTGTTTAGCAAATGGCTATAAATTGAATAAAAACTATACCGAAGTTTTATATAGTCTTTGGGATGTGTTATTTGGTTTTAGGCATACTGCACATACTTTTTGACAGTCTCTGCATGAATAGTGAATATAGCGATGCAAATTGCACTTTTCGTCCTTGTCTTTATGGAAATATTAAATGCAAGTATATTTAATATTTCTTTATGCCTTTCAACCGTAGTCACGATGGACGAGTTACATGAGACTGCAACCGTTCCGCAATTTTTATCAGTTGTACTTAATCTTTTATTCTCGATGTGTTTATTTGTGTGTACTGAGTGGGAATATTGAATAATTGTTAGATGAAGAAAGGTATCTCAGCTCAAATAACGAAGTAAACCATGCATTAATTTTTAACCGCTTATCTGTTACTTCAGCGTTTCTACAAATTATTATTCCTTGCAATAACTGGTGCCCATGCAAGCGAACATCCCAACTCCACGTATTGAGGGAGTTTTGTTTCCTAACTTTGTGAGTTGTGAGTTTAATGGTCCGGACTTTTTCATGCCTGTCAATGTGAACATTTGTTTTGTAGTTTAACATGGCCAAGTGTCGGAGTCCTTTCTAAAATATTGAATATTTGACAATGGATTTCGAACAACTTATAATTGTATTGTACTTGCGGGTATAAGTCCGTCCGCTGTGTAACACCAGTCGCAAATTCATGATGTGCTGTCAGCTGTCTGATCTCAACCAATAAGAATTAGCTCGTTTGTTACGTGGAACGGTACGTGATTATAATATTCGTTCAATATCAGACGATAATTCATGATGTGCTGTCTCCACCAATGAGCAGGCCAGTTTCTATGCATTTCGACGAATAGATCGTTTGTTTAATGAGGCTATACCTTCATTTTCGTTGAGTTGTGCATATCAACTATTTGAAACTGTGCTTTTAAAGTCTACACCAATTGATAAGGATAAACGTCTGTTGTAAAAAGGACAGTCCGAGTCTTAACCAACTGCAAACGGGAAGTTTTCTTCACGGGTTGGAAAGGTAATGACATTTTTCATTAATTACGTACATTCCACAAGAGAAACGTTGTAGTTTGTTGAATTATACTGAGAAATGATTGCGAATTTTTTAAAATTTCTGTCCCGAAATAGGTTTACGAATATAAAGCGTTGGTTAGAAAACAGAAGTTTTACTATAAAGATGTAAAGTAAAGAGGTGAGTTCTATTCAAAACTGTGCTTGTCTAAACCTTGTGGTGAGGATAAACATCTTGTAAAATGGATGGTCCGAGTCTTAACCAACTGCAAACGGGAGGTTTTCTTCACGGGTTGGAAAGGTTATGACAATTTTTGAATGATTCTGTTTTAAAGTGTGACCTTGTACAAATTACTTCGCATGCTTATTGCATCATTCCCTACATCCCACAAGCATTACAGCACAGTTTGTTGAATATACACCGAGAATTGATTGAAAAATAGTAAAATACTGCATTTAGATTTTAGACTCAGCTGTTCAAACTTCAAAAATGCTGCAGTTTAGAAACTTGTGTTTATTTTTCTAGGATGGCATACGTCTGCAGTACTTGTTCAAAAAGGTTCACTCAAGTGCGGAACTTAACTCGTCATGTGAAAACAACGCATCTGGGCAAGACATTCAAGTGTCAGGAGTGTGATAAGTCGTTTACAAGAATGGATGCCCTCATTCGTCATGGTCACCCACAGATGCGATAAATGCCTGAAAGAGTTCTATCGTCGTGATAAGTTGGTCGAACATAGAGTGGTATGTGACGGAAACACCTTGAAGAGGAAATCTGATGATCTGGTTGACACTACTTCTAAGGCTAAACGGAGTAAAGTTGATGAGACAACTCACTCCTGGCCTCCGATCAAATTGGGCATGGAGAGGACGATCCGTGTGATCTTACATCTGCTTTCGAGGAAAACTCAAATATTTCTAAAAAAACTTCTGGTACTTCAAAAACGCGTTTTACGAATAATGCACTTCCCTAACAATAGAAATCACGCTGTTCCCTTTTTTAAAAATACAACTAATTTGCCAGTGAATATGTTATATTTTGAATCAGTTTCGAAATTAATGTATGACGTCAACAATGAGTTAGCACCAAAGAATATCACTGATCTCTTTACCCAAGTTGCTACTGTACACACATGTGGTACTAGAGCTTCAACTGCTGGTAACTATCAAATTAAGTATTCTCGTACAACTCTACAAAAGAAATGCTTTTTCTAGAGTTGGTGCAAAAATATGGAACTCGCTTCCAAAATATATTCGTAATCTTAAGAGAAAAGAATTCGCTAAACAGATGCACACATTACTCCTTAACATTTTGAATAATGAGGATGACTACCTTGAAGTCCCAATGATTATACAGAGAATTGTCTGTTTGATTTTATGTCTGATGACTTTTACTTTTGATTTTCTTTTTTTCATTAGTTTCTAAAGAGCGTGATGAGTTTTGGTTCTTTAAAAGCATTTCGTCATCAGCATACATCTTTACTGATTTACACATTTCATAAAATATACCCTAAGGTTTCGACTGTAGTTTCATTATCGTAATTTCAATCTCTATATATTCTATTCCTAATTCTACCGAGATCTCATCTTGTTAAATATCCAATGTTGTTAAATAATTAAATATACTATCCCC